TTCAGCACTGTTAAATTTAGTGCGCTTCACAATGGGGGAGACAGCATTCCCTCCTCCTCGAGTCCATTACGACATGGAGCATGGTTGCAGCCAGGTTGGGGGAGTCTCTTGGGGCACAGAGCAGGTCGTGCGTCTCCCCGGGTGACCAAGGTGCATCCAACACCAACAAAGGCCGAAGAAGGACCTGCAAGACCCAGAGAGCACCAGAGAATCAGAATGACAGAGAGATGAGAGAGAAAGCAAGAGACACAGAGAGACAGAGAAAGAGAGACAGAGAGAGAAAGGAGAGACAGAGAGAGAGATGAGAAAAAGAGATACACACAGAGAGAATGAGAGATGAGAAAGAGAAAAAGAAAGAGAGATGAGAGAGAGAGAGATACAAAGAGATGAGAGAGAGAGAAAGGTAGATACAGAGAAAGAGATGAGAGAGAAAATGAGAGAGACACAGACAGAGAAAGAGAGAGAAAGGAAAGAGAAAGAGAGACAAACGAAGAGATGGGGGAGAGAAAGACATGAGAGAGAGAAAGATATTTAGAGAGAGGGAGATGAGAGATTCAGAATGAGATATGTAGAGAGATACAGAGAGAGAGAGGGAGAGAGAGGGGGGGGGGAGAAAGACAGCGCAAGGAGAGAGATACAGAGAAAGATGAGAGAAAGAGATGAGAGATCCCAGTGTTTTGTTTTCTGTGGGAAATGGGTCCAAATGGCTCTCTGAGTGCTTAAGTTTGCAGAAACAGGTGGCCAAGCTAAGTGCCTGAAGGATCCCATCCCGTCATTGGGAGTCCAGGTGATTCAGCAAGAAGCGTGCTGGATTCATATTAATGGTCTGCGGGGTTTAAAATTATGAATTTAGTGGTCCCTGAGGTCCGAAAGGTTGGTGACCCCTGATCTAGATGTTAAACATTATTTTAATTGCAGGCAATATGATGAAAACCCAGCTAGCCTGCTAAAGAACCAATGCATCATTTCAAATCAAGGACTGGCTAATCCAACCTCCTATTTCCAACTATAATCAGCCAGGACATCTGTCCTTCTACTGCAGCCCATATTTCTACAGTATGATTGAATTAATTGTTCCCTTTCTATTTGTAACGACTGTTCTGCCTTCTATTCCTCACTATTTTGTGTCCCATCTAAAAAAATGATTTTTGGATGCTATACAATTTATTATCATTATTTTTTCATAAATGTACTTATTAAATTCTTTCATAAACTTTCTTAAATTTTATCAGCTAAGAACCAGGTGTGAATGTCTGCTGAAAAAGCCAAAATTCCTGTGTATAATAGTGGGCTTCTATTGGTTTCGTTATATGAAAATGAGATTTGAGTACTTAAGGAGAAACATAAAAGTGGATGGAGGGATGGGCCCAATGGCTCAGTGGTCAAAGAGGCTGAGCTTGTCAGTTGGAAAGCTGACAGCCTGGATTCAAGACTGAGTGCCACGTAACAAGGTGAGCTCCTGTTGCTTGCCCCAGCTCCTCCCCACCTAACAGTTTGAAAGCATGCAACTTCGAATAGATAAATAGGTACCACTTTGATGGGAAGGTTGTGTGCTCCTCAGTGTACAGTCATGCTATCCACATAACCGTGGAAATATTTTCAGACAATAACTTGGTTCCCTTGGCTAAGAAATGGAGATGAGCACTGCTCCCTAGAGTTGGGCAAGACTGGAAAGGAGAAAACTTTACCTTTCATTGGTTACTAAGGGAAATGTGTCAAATAAAACAAGAAGAATTCAGATCAAGAATGAAGAAATGCTGAAGGAATGTGGATAAGGAACCAAACTGAGTGACCAGTATAAAAGAAGAAGGCTGACACGATCCAGCCATACGGAAAGAATGAATGAGGAACAAATGATAAAACAAATGTATGAAGGAAGAGTGAATGGGTTGAAAGGAAAGGGGAAAAAAACCAAGGATGGCATAGCTGATACAGTTAATGCAATCCTCTCAAAGATGGACATAATAAATCAAAATAAAAAAGTGATGCATGAAGCAGAATGCAGAAGCGTTGAAAACATGGTTTGGCAAAGACTAAAAAGATATGGAGAGGAGAGAGAGATCCTTCTGCCTCCAATTTATTTAACTCTTTTTCAACGCTGTGAACTTTCTTCTGTTTCTAAAAGGGAACAGCTTGAGAGGTAGGTACACATGTATTAGGTTTGGAGGCATAAAGAAAATGCTGGATATTAGACTGGCAGCTCAGCCTCTTCATTCTTCATTGCTGGATCAATAATATTACTATTCTGATCAGCTGGTGCATTAACTATCACAGGAATGGCAAATCAACAGGATATGCACAGATGCATTCATTTTTTATAGAGCTTTCCTATGCATATCAAATGAGACCCCACTCAAAAATCCCAGGAGATTGCATTCAAGACCTATATAGCCTTGTGGTAAGAAAAGTCACATAACTATCAGTGAAATATAAGAGTGATTACAAAATAACAGGCCATCTGTCATAATTCACGGTTATGGCAGATCATTCAGCTAAAATGGCTTGGGCTTTAGTCACTATAAATAAATTAGTGATTCCGTGTATTAAGGACTGGCATAATTTTGGTGCCCAGGGGACCCACTTTTTATTTTGGGGTGCCCAACAGCTACAACAAAAGAGGGACAATTTCATGCACAAAGTGATTAGTGGGTTTCTGGAAGGAATGTGGATGGTTGCAATTTACCGGTTTGCCACAAATGCAGTTAGCATCATAAAAGCATAAAAACATGGAATAGCACAGATATAAAATGGATAAAAACGTAATAAAAATAATAGGTCAAGAACCATAGACCACACATGGCCCCTTATACAGTATATGTCAGGCCTATTTTAATGGAATAATTAATCCCCAGAATCAAACTGCTAAATTCTAAAGACAGAGAATGCAAACTAACAAACAAAATAGAGTTCCATTTACTTTAGCAGAAGAGATTTAAACCCAATAAATCAATGGAACTAAAATGAGCTAAAATTTGACAGGATCATCCCCACCAGTAAAAGATAAAATTGGGTGCAGGTATAAATGTGTCTAATTTACTGTTCTTAAAATTCACTGAGATGAAAGTACCCCAGAATGTGAGAAAAATGAAATTGTAGCATGTGACTAAAAATATTACAAGGAGCCCAGACTAACCATGCTCTGTCGCCTGTCAGGTGTTTGACACTTTGTACTA